CATTGGCATCCTCTGGGGTATAAGACAGTCTGATACTTGCCACCTCAGGGCCAAAGATGCTTGTGGTGGTTTTCACTGGGATAGAAGAAAAAATACTTTGAGTTCCAGCTGAGGGTTTCCACGGCAGATTCACATGATAACAGTTTGAAGCTATCCCAGATTCAGAGAAGGAACAGAAGCAACCTTTGAAGATTTCAAAGCTTACCTTAGGGAAAGCTGGGAGTTCCCTGGCAGTCCAGTGGTTAGGCTTTCACTATCCTGGCTGGGGAACTTAGGTTCCACAAGCTGCTTGTAAACAGACCCAGAATCCATGCCATTGAGCATCAAGGGTGCCCCCTCCTGGACTGCCTGAGAACTGCTCATGTCTGCATTTTGACAGGGCTAATGTCCCCCACGAGAAGACTCTTGGGAGTCCCTTGGGCTGCAAGGAGATCCAACCAGTCCATCCGAAAGGAGATCAGTCCTGGGTGTTCATTGGAAGGACTGATGCTGAAGCTGAAACTCCAATACTTTGGCCACCTCATGCGAAGAGTTGACTCATTGGAAAAGACCCTGATGCTGGGAGGGATTGGGGGCAGGAGGAGAAGGGGACGACAGAGGATGAGATGGCTGGATGGTGTCACTGACTCGATGGACATGAGTTTGAGTAAACTTTTGGTTCACCTCATGCGAAGAGTTGACTCATTGGAAAAGACCCTGATGCTGGGAGGGATTGGGGGCAGGAGGAGAAGGGGACGACAGAGGATGAGATGGCTGGATGGTGTCACTGACTCGATGGACATGAGTTTGAGTAAACTCCGGGAGTTGGTGATGGACAGGGAGGCCTGGAGTGCTGCAATTCATGGGGTCGCAAAGAGTCGGACACGACTGAGCAACTGAACTGAACTGAACTGAACTGAACTGAATGCCCCCCACTCCAGTATTCTTGCCTGGAGAATTCTATGGACTGAGGAGACTGGTGGGCTATAGTTCATGGGATGGCAAAAGTCGCAAAGACATGACTGAGCAATGAAAACTTTCACCTTTTTCACTTCCAATGAAAATAAAAGCTTTAGCTAACACCATGGTGCTCAAAATGTACCTGACACAATTGTTAAGTGATTTATATTATTAATTTCATAATAACTTCATAGCAACTTTATGAGGTAGGGACGATTATTATGTCCATTTTACTTTTGAGAAAATGGGGGCCCAGGGTGATTAACTAACTTGTCCACTGTTACACAGCTGTTAAATGAAGTTGAGATCTGAACCCAGGCAGCTTGGCTCCAGAATCAGGCTTTGAGAAATTTTAAGAAAAGATCAAGGTCAGAGGCCTGATTTAGTAAGACATTGCTTTTCCAAAGCACTTCATCGTTTATAGTGTTTTATATGTTTCATTTAATCTTTATAATAACTCAGTGAGGCAGACACTTACATCATTCTTATTTTGACAGAGGTAAACACTGAGGCCTGGAGGCATTCAGGGACTTTCAAAAGAAAGCTGGCATAGAGTGTTGATGAAGGTTGGAGAAAGGGGATCCCGGGCACTGTTGGTGAGAGTATATATCGATGCAGTCACTATGGCAAACGTTATGGAGGTTCCTCAAAAAAAATTAAAAATGAAGCTACCGTATGACCTAGCAATCTTCCTTCTGGGTATATATATCCAAAGGAATAAAATCAGGCTATTAAAGCGATATCTGTGGTCTCATGTTTACTGCAACAGTAAACATTATTCACAATAGCCAAGCTGCAAAAACAACATGAGCATCTGCCAACTAATGAATAAAGACCCCCCCTCCCCGGATATATATATACATATTCATACATGGACCTTTAGGGATTATGCTAAGTGAAAAAAAGACAAAGGAAAACACTACAAGATTTCACTTATATATGAAATCTAAAAAAGTCAAACCCATAGAAACAAAGAGTAAAATGGTGGTTTCCAGGGCCTGGGGGCAGGGGTGGCGGGTTGAGGAGGAGTTAGAAGTTGATCAAAGGGTACAAAATTAGAAGATGAATAAATTCTGGGGATCTAATGCACAGCTTAGTGACTGTAGTCAACAATAATATGTTATATACTTCTAAGTTGCCAAGAATGAAAGTGAAAAAGTGAGTCACTCAGTGGTGTCTGACTCTTTGGGACCCCATGGACTGTAGCTCACCAGGCTCTTCTGTCCATGGAATTCTCCAGGCAAGAATACTGGAGTGTGTAGCCATTCCATTCTCCAGGGGATCTTCCCAACCCAGGGATCCAACCCAGGTCTCCCACATTGCAGGCAGGTTCCTTACCATCTGAGCCACCAGGGAAGCTCAAGTTGCCAGGAGACTGGATCCTAAATTTCTCTCCACAAAAAAGAAATGGTAACTATGTGACTGATGAATGAGTTAGTTAATGCTATGGTGATCATCATTTTGCAATAAATTAGGTATCTCAACATCAGCACATAGAACACTTTAAGCTTATGTACATAATTATGTATCAAAGAAAAAGAAAGAAACACAAGAAGAGAAAAAGACCCAAGAAGCCCTCTTGGAGCTGCCACTGACCCTGTCTGACTCCATATCAGTCTCTTTTCCATAATCGAGGCTGGGTGGCAGGGCTGGCTTCCTGCTTGCAGCCTCGGCCATGTCCTCACCTCTGAGTACCCTCTACTGCTGCCTGGCATTTCTGAGCTGATCTGGCTGCATGTGCATCACAGCTGGTTTTGAGTTGGTGGACACAGCTGCATAGAGGAGAGTTAGCAGAATGGTGGGGAGCTTGGTAGCACTTGAACAAAGGGTGGGGAGAAGCTCAGAGGCCCATTGGGCTGGAGAAAAGTGGGTGGAAGGGATGCTCCTTAAGGGCCAAGGGATTTGCTTTTTGTCCTGCAAGTACGGGGAGCCACTGAAGGTTTCTGAGGAAGACAATGGCAAAACCAGGGCTGGGCTTTGGGAGGCAGGATTTAGTCCCTGTGTGACCCGCGGCCTGTGCCCTCTACTAGATGAGTTCCCAAAGCCTGTCTTCCCACTTTGCATGTGACATCCTTCTATCACTGACTGTGGCTGTCCCCCAAGGGCTGTCAACTCCCAAAGGTCACTGGCCCCTGAAGAGATTTCGTTGTTTAATCTCCAAGTCATGTCTGACTCTTTTGCGACCCATGGACTGTAGCCCATCAGGCTCCTCTGTCCATTGGATTTCCCAGACAAGAATACTGGAGTGCGTTGCCATTTCCTTCTCCAGGGGATCTTCCCGACCCAGGGATCAAACCCGTGCCTCCTGCGTCGGCAGGTGGATTCTTTACTACTGAGCCACCAGGGAAGCCCTCCTTCTGGGCAGAAGCTCCTGTGTTCGGTCTGTAGTCTAGCGACTGGAAAGCCCACGCTGGAGACTTTGTGGTGACAGGTATTCTGGTGTTCTTAGTCCCAGGAACTGAAGTTAGGTTTTTTCTCCCCCTTCCCGCCCCTGCCCCCTGCCTCTTCTGGATTCCTCCGTCTTCTTTCCCTGGAGAAACTCCTGTTGACCTTTCCAGACCCAGCGGGTTGATCAGTCTCCTGTGGTGGCTCCTGACTCCCTCACAAAATGTGAGTGCTGCAGCACCTAAACTCCGACAAGACTTGTGGAGTCCCTATTCTCCTTACGCTGCAGATATATTTATTTGCCTTATTCTCCCAGCTACACTCTGAGTGTCCTGAGGGAACCGTCTTGTCTTTGCTATTTCTATATTCAGCTCAGAGCCTGGCAGGGTTAAATACTTAATGGGGTGCAGTCCTTCAAGCATATGTATCACCTGCTGACTGATGCATATGTATGCTAGGCATTGGAATGCAGCAATGAATAGACCAAAGAAAATACCCCTTCCGCCACCCTGGCACTCTCAGTCTATGTGACCTCCGCTTCTATAAATACTTTCTGAGGGACAGACTTCCCGCTGCCTTCCTCAGATCTGGGAGAATGGACTTTGAGCGCTTGAAGAGGAGAAGAAGCTCTTTCTTTAAGGGTGAGGACCGTTTGCCTTGTATCCTGCAAGCACCAACAGAACACAGTTCTCTGGCATTGGTAGGTTGTAGTTGCGTGCTATACAGGTGTTGGATGGACTTTGGAGTAGACTTAGACTTTGGGTAAGATTTTTCTTAAGGCTTGGGCCAAGGCAACCCCTGGACCTGTGCAATGAGAACACTGCCAGTTCCAGGACTTCTCTACAAAAGGACTGGATTTTAGAGGCAGATGGGGCCTGACTCGATGCAGTCAGACTACAAAATAATCAGTTTTAATTCTAGACCGTGCTTCAGAGGTCTTCCTCACTCTGTGCACTTTCCCAGATCCAGGACTTCCTTTTGAGTTTTAGAAGCAGCAACTTGCAGATGTCCAACCTGCCTCAAGAAACGTGAAAAGACAGGCTGGTGAGAGGGGCGTCACGGCAGACACGGCAGCTCTGTGGTGACAGAGTTACTGAAGCACCTTCTTCCCTCCCTCCAACACATGCACCCACCAGCTGTCAAGGTCTCAGGAGACCAAAGAGAAAGGGCACTGGAGCCGGGACTCCAGAGTTTCCTATAACTCATCCCCATATGCAGGGCATATGGGTCCCTGCCAGGCTTGCCCACTGACCCAGCTGGGCATGGTGATGTCCTTCTTTGGAACTCAGTTTCCACATGAGTAACGTGAGGAGGGATGAGTAACGGATGGCCTTAAGGGCTCTTGTGGCTTTTTGTAGGAAACAGCAGGGGCTCAGGTGTCAGATAACACCTGATTTTATTTTTATTTTTTATTGATTTATTTTTTTAAATTTTGGCTCCACTGAATCTTCATTGTGGCATGCAGGCCTTTTCTCTAGTTGGGGTCTGGGCTTCGTTGCCCCATGGCAGGTGGGATCTTAGTTCCCTGGCCGGGGATCAGACTCCCATCCCCTGCACTGGAAGGCAGATTCTTAACCACTGGATCACCAGGGAAGTCCCTGGAAATAGATGATTTTAAAAGGAAGAAAGCTTGGGAAGTGGGTACAGTGGTGAACATGCCCCCTCTTCTTTTCCAGTGCGCCGATCCAAGGCGGCTGACGAGGAGAGGAGCCGCCGAGCCCAGCGCGCCCGGGACGAGTACCAGCGTCACTCGCTCCGCGCCATCCAGAAGGGCACCGTTGCCGGACTCAGCTCCAGGTTCCAAGAGCTCGGCCAGAGCCATGAGCAGGAGGCGAGACTCGACCACCGCCTCCCAGGCCCGGGGCCGCTTTCATCCCTGGCCGTGCCTGGCAGGTGGGTCGTGGTGTTGTCTGAGACCTTTGGTTATTACCAACAATGCCCTTAATAAGTAACCTTGTAGACATTAATTTTATACTCGGGCAACTATTATTTACAACAGAGATTCCCAAAAGTGGGACCACTGGATTAAGGGCTACATGTATTTATAGTAATGATAGTTAAGTTCAGTTTGTCCTCCACAGATATGGTACTAGTGAACACTCTCATTCTTTAGCCTTGCCAGCAGTATGTTGTCAGATTTTTGTTTTTTGTGAGAAATAATATCTCAGTGAAAGTTTAAACCTGCATTTCTATTTATGCATGAGGTGAAGTATTTTGTATATGTTTAAGGGTTTTTGATATTTCCATACCTGTCTCTTCCTTTCCTGCCTCTTCATTGTGTTATTGGTCTTTTTGTCGTCTATTTTTTTGTTTATTGTTATTCAGTTGCTGAGTCGTGTCCAACTCTTTGCAACCCCATGGACTATGGCACACCAGGCTCCTCTGTCCTCCACTGTCTCCTGGAGTTTGCTCAAATTCATGTCCACTGAGTCAGTGATGCTGTCTAACCATCTCATCCTCTGCCTTCTCCTTTTGCCTTCAATCTTTCCCGGCATTAGGATCGTTTCCAATGAATCAGCTCTTCACATCAGGTGGCCAAAATATTGGAGCTTCAGCTTCAGCAACAGCCCTTCCAGTGAATATTCAGGGTTGATCTATTTTTAGGAACTCCTAAAATATAGGGGGAAAGATTCTTTTCTTTGTGGTAAAACATTTTTTCCCCCTCAATCTGTCATTTGTCTTTTGACTTTTACGATAACATTTTCTGTCATGCAGGAATTCTTGATTTTTATGAAGTCAGAGTTTCTTTTATGTTTACTGGATTTAGAGACATAGTTAGAAGTCTTTTTCCTCTTGTGCTTTTTTTTTTTTAAGGAGACGAATAATTTGTCCTTCAGGCCCAGAAGACAGAGCTGCATGGACTGAATTTTCCTTGCTGTCGTTTACAACCTCCTCTTGCTTCTAAGGAGAATGAGTCTTAGAAACCAGAGGATTTCCCCCCACTCCCCCAAGCATAGTTATTTACTGGGGAATGCACGTGTGAAGGAAGAGGCTGGGGGCAGGACTGTTGTTTCATAAAGAGAAGGGGACTCTGAGGTTCCTGAGAAGAGGGAAATCCTGAAGGGTGGATACAGGGGAGCAAAACTGGTTAGAGGGGCTCTGCTTGTGGAGGTGCCTGTGGGGAGGAAGGGATTTGGAGAACAGACCCCACTGATCCTGCCTTTGAGCTGTTCAGTGGAACCTCACCCTCTGTCTTTCTTGTGTGTTAGTTGCTCAGTCATGTCCAGCTTTTTGTGACTCCATGGGCTGTAGCCCACCAGGCTCCTCTGTCCATGGGAATTCTCCAGGCAAGAATACTAGAGTGGGTTGCCATGCCCTCCTCTGGGGGATCTTCTCAACCCAGGGATTGAACCCAGGTCTCCTGCATTACAGGAGGATTGTTTACCGTCTGAGACACTAGGGAAGCCCTGTCTTTCTTATTGAATCTTTTAAAAAATCTGCAGTGTTCACTACTGCACATGAGTTACATGGATTCATTCTAGGGCAAGAAAAATACGAGCTCATTCTGGGGTTTACCAAGAAGTCCTGGGCTCATCATCCATTTATGTTGGTACAGAGGAAATGCAATGACTGCATGAGGGGACAGCTGATGTTTATTTTATAAGAGATGATGATAGTGGTGGTGAATTCTAAATGCCAGCGCTAGTAGGTGGACCAGACAGCAATGACAGTGAGAATTTGCCAGGCTTCTATCACTCAGGTGGAAAGGTGAAAAAGTTACAGTTGTTTAAGTTAGGCCCAAAGTCTGCTCTGCTTTCATACCATAAATTAATGCAATGGAATTTTGCTACATGAGCTTTCCTGGTGATTCAGTGTTAAACTGTTAAAGAATCTCCCTGCCAGTGCAGGAGACATGAGTTTGGTCCCTGGGTTGGTAAGAACCCCTGAAGAAGGAAATGGCAACCCACTCCAGTATTCTTGCCTGGAAAATCCCAAAGACAGAGGAGCCTGGCGGGCTGCAGTTCATGAGGTCACAAAACAGTTGGGCATGACTTAGCGACTAAACAACAACAACAACAAATCTTGCTTCATATCCACAAACAGTGGTGCATGCTGTTATGGAGCATATGCTGTCAAACCCTTACTGGGCTTCGTGTTAGTATGGCTCCAATAAAACAGAATTTCTTTATACATCCAGGAGCCACCGTACAGACACAAAAACAAGTAAAATCTGGGCTTTTGTGGGAAATATCAGAAAGCATGCACATAGTGGCCCTGTTCATCTCACTCTAGGGGTCTTCAGACCCTCACAGATCGCTGGTCAAAAGTCAGCCAGTATACTGCCTTGTTCCTGCCCCGCTCTCTTTCCTTTGTCCTTTTCCTTTTTATTTTTTGGAGGTGAAACTCAGCCATTTTCAGAGCAGATTGAGGCTGTTCCCTGTCCTGATACTGCATCATAAATCATGAAAGCTAGTTGGCCAAGACAGGTGTCCCCTTAGGTGGCAGTGTCAGGGGAGATGGGCGGGGAGATGGAGAGAGGCAAAACCAGCATCCTCTTCAGTGGGGGTTTGGGGAGGGTGGAGGACACGTACATATAATGATTTTGCTGGTGTTACATTAGGATCCTTCTTCATAGATTCTGCTGTTTATGCCCTGGCCTTTTCTCTCCCTCAGACATCCCCTCCCGTCCTATTTCCCGCTTGCACTTGTGTGACTGTTTTTTACGTTAAAAGAAATGTTGGCCTTACCAGGCAACAGGCGGGATCCCAGTTCCCAAACCAGGGACTGAACCTGAGGAACCCCACCCCACTCCTGGATTGGAAGCATGGAGTCTTAACTACTGAACCACCGGGCTGCCAGCAAAGTCCCCCTCCTTTAAAAAAATTTTTCTTACTGGAGTATAGTAGCTTTACAATGTTATGCTAGTAGCCTTTTTTCCCCCAAAGCAAGTGATAACAGTTTTCTTTTGGGGAAAAATATGAACAGCTGGTACCTTATAATCTGCAAAGTGCCCTCAAGTACCTGGATTTATTTAATCCTTTCCACAAGCGTGCGTGTGGGCATCGGGCTTGTTCACAGTGGTCTTCCCAGCTCCCTCCCTCTCCTTCCTGCCCCGCCCCCTGCCCCCTCCCTCATGACTCTCCCACACTTCGGTGGTCTCTGTCTCAGCAGAACCTGGGAGCGGCCCCTGCGCCCCGTCTCCAGAGAAGTCATAGTCCGCTGGTTTAAGGAGGAGCAGCTGCCTCGCCGAGCAGGCTTCGAGAGGAACACCAAAGCCATCGCCCCCTGGTTCCACGGTAGGCTGACTTTCCAGATCCCTGGGGCAGGTTCCCACATCTCAGCCTCCCTCTGGGGCTGGGGCAGAGTCAGGGACCGCTGCAATCAGGGGAGTGAGGACGTTAGACTCTGCTAATTCTGCTCTGGCCCCACAAAGACAGGCGGTCTCCCAGGGCTAAGGCTCAATGCTCCTGGTCGTCTGCAGAGAGGGGAGTGGAGAGAGGTCTGGTGTCTGGCTTTTCTGTGCTCACTGAATGTGCTGAGCTCGAGGCACAGTCTTTGATGTCCCCATGGCATGTGCTGAAACACTTGAGTGACCTTCACAGAGACCGTTAGAGACCACGGCTTAACATCTCTGTGCGGGAGTCCGGGGGCCACAGGCCCCCAGGGCTCCAGACGTGCACTGCTCTCTCTGATGGGAAGGGATGAACAGGACTCTTGCCCACTGCCCTCACCTAACAACCTGCCTGGCCATCAAGGGCCCCTCAGAGACATTTCTCTCTGGGCATTATGACCCCCTTCCTTCTCCTGGGCCTCCATATACCCAACAGAAGGATGGAAGGGCTCTTTATGGCTCAGAAAGAAGACAGTCAGTGTTTATGTGTGACCTCATTGTGTGTACCTGGAGCTGGTCCCAGGGATTCCCTGCCTGTAACTTCTGTCTCAGTTATGTGTCCCTGTAGCCCCTGGGAGAGCTTCCATTGGGATCACTGCTTTCCTTTTTATTCATACATTATTGTAATCATGGAAGCAGAAAACCAGCATCTTAGTCTCCTGCATAGTGTGTGACTCAAAAAATTTTGTTGAGGTGGGGGTTTGTCAGGGCCATTGGCTGCTTTGCCAATGGAGAAGGCGTGGCAGAGGACCTCAAATTTATCTTTAGCTTTATTTTTTATCCCAGTTTTAAAAATGTAATTTTTATATTGTCACAGAGCAAACAGAAACGTGATTTAAGTCTTGCAATTCACATAACTGATTCTGTGTTCTTCTGACAGTTCTACCATAAAGCGTGCAGAAACGTTGCTAATACATGGGCCAGAGCTATTTAGTGACAAAGTTTTCATTGATCTGTGACAAGAGGAAAGAAAAAGGCTCATATATGGAGGGTGGCCAGCCATCTTTGCTTGGAAAGGACTGTGTCATATTCAAAGATCATATCCTCTCCTCAGTTTTAGTGTTAACATGTCCTGTCTCTTATGAATTGATGGTGATAGTAAGCAGTGGTTATTTTTTTATATATGGCCTTTGCTCAGAAAAGCAAAAAGGGAGGAATCCCGTGGTTGGTTTCCACACTTTTTCTTTGATTTGTTGTTGTTTTTTAGTAGCTAAGTCATGTCCTACTATTTGCAACGCTATGGATTGTAGCCCGCCAGTCTCCTCTGTCCGTGGGATTCTCCAGGCAAGAATACTGGAGTGGGTTGCCATTTCCTCCTCCAGAGGCTTTTTATTGATACTTATACCTGAAATCCCAAAGTCTGGAAGGCCCGGTGTGGTCCAGCTGCTCTCCCGTTGTAGCAATTCCCTATAGCCTTCTTAGTGGGGCTCCCCCTTGCTAATCTCTACTAGAGGAGCAACCTCCTGCCCCCAGTCAGCTGTTAGGGAGTCGCTGCTGCAGGTTGGCTGGGGCTCTACTCTTGGCTGATCTTGGCTGGGCATCATCACTGGGGCGGGGGGATTCTGCTCCGTGTAGCTCTCATGCTCCTCTTTGGGCTGTCAGGCCAGCCTGGGCACGCTCTTCTCAGGAGCCAGAAAGCAAGTGGCAGCATGCCAGGCTCTTGAAGTCTAGCCTCCAAACCAGCATGCTATCACTTTCACCTTGTGCCATTGGCCACAATGTGTCACAGAGTTGAGAAGGTGGGAAAAATGTTCTGCTCCTTTCATGTGAGGAACTGCAAAGCCATGTGTCAAAGAGTGTGAAGACAGGGAGGGGAGGAGAATTTGAGCCAATAATGCAACTGATCACAATCCTAATGTAAATCTTTTCTTTCCTGGGGTAAGCATTCATCATTAATTTAGTTGAATTTTTGGTGAAAAATTCAGGTGTGAAAAGGACTCTTGTGATTGTATTTCTTCCCTTCTGTCAAACACATTTGGCTGCGTTGTTGAACTGTAATCCAAAGAGCAATCTTCAGGAGTCTGAAGATCCGGGGCCCTCTCTAGAACCTAGCAGCTTTGTGAGCTTGGGTGTTTCCTTTCAATTCCTCATCTGTGACCATAACATCGACTCCATGGGATATGTATGAAGATCAAGCCAACAAATGTGCGCTGTCCATGAGACATGAGCATGGGTGCTGATGCCCCCTGGTGTCTGAGACTCCTCCTCTCCCGAGAAACAGTCTGGGAAAGTGGACTTAGAGCACAGAGGGGAGGGGAGGAGGAGGTGGCTTCCCACTGGGACCACGGGGTTCTTGATAAAAGTCTCCTCTGTTAAAAAGAGAGAAAATGTAAAGTCGTTCCTCCTTTCTCCTGTGTTCATTGTTATGTTCCAGGGGTTCTAAGAGAGATTTCTGGTTATATAAAAATACTCATGAGAAAAGCTATTGCATATAAGCTTGGCTTTGGGGGAAAAAGTATCTATTTTTGGACTTCAACATGTATCTGGAACGATTAAGAATATCCTCTGTCTAAACACTGCCTCAGTCAGAACCCATTTCTCCTCCTGAGCTTTACTTCTAAAAATCAGTCACACCTGGTTCATGGCTTATTGTCTTGGCAGCAACCCACTGGCTGTCTCCAGAGGACTTGCCCTGAGGGCTTGGCAGGGACTGCTGGTGCGCAGTGAAGGGTGGAGTTGGGGCTCGGGTGCTGGGAATGGGCCTCCTGATGGCCTATCCTGCACTCAGGTGGGGTGTTCAACTCTTAACTGTTTCTGACAATCACCAGGGCAGGGCACTCCCCATCCATGTAGTCGGTGCAGCTTGTAGGGACCCAGCAGTTGAGGTTGGCTCCTGTGCAAAGCAGAGCTCCCAAGTGGAATGGGCACTGCTTCCTACCTTCCCACGCTGTGTCTTCAGGACACATGTGGAGGAGAGGATGGTTGAAGATCCCAGAGCTGCAGGGTTCTAGGGTGGGCCCATCCCTTCAGGCTCTTTGTCCACCTTATTCTTAACCACAGCACATCTGATTGTGTTTGAAGCAGGGGAAGGCCATAGAAGTTATAGAAGTCATTTTTAGTAATTATTTGGGGGAAGGGAATGTTTGTCTTGCAAATGTGTGTGTGTGGGGGGAACAAAGCCACTAGTCCCCAATCTCTGGGGTCCCATCTGGAAAAAGGGAGATCGTTAAGTGGATTCAGGGCTGGGAGTTCTAAAGAGACACATTTCACTTCAATAGAAGAAAGATGGTTGCAGCTACTGTTGGGCAGAGGGACGGCTAGTGGACTCTTCAGATGGGTGACCAGAGGGCCTTTAAGAATGTCTGTTCTCAGCGTCTGGTTTGCAGTGTGATTCTGCTGGCACTGCCCCAGGACCACTGGTCTTATTCCCCCCTCAAGCTTCCAGAGTTTTCTCAGGTTGTTGGAAGCATGGGAAAGGTTGGCCAAGGTGTGCGGTTAGCCACAGAGCGGGCACCTGGGTGGGAGTCTGTGGGCTAAGGAGTGAGGGTGTTTTCTTCCTAATGACTGTTGGGCTTCTTCGTCTTATTTGTGTCTCTATTACTGGTACTGTCTTCAGTCCAGGAACTGAGGCTCAGGCAGTGGACACCCCCTCCTGGATGGCTCTCCCAGGAGTCCTGTGGGAGGTGGGAGAGCAGACACACCAGGCTGTCCTGCAGAGAGGCAGTCCCCCCAGGGAGGTGGGAAGGATTGTGCCTGGGGAGGCAGAGGGTGAGAGGCAATGTGGTCTGCCCCAACTGCATGCTCTGGGAGGTCACATCCTCTCTGAGCTGCATGGAACAGAAAGGACCTGGCCTGGCTGATCAGTACCCATTGGTGATCCTCTTGGCAGGCTGCTGCCCTGAGGTCTTGTGTGTTTGCCTGGCTGTGTAGATGTGCAGAGTGGTTGGATGTGCACTGTCTCAGAGGGACTCTCAACTTCTTGAGTTACTCATGGTTCACCCTCTACAGATAGCATCACTGATGGCCAGAAAAGCTTGAGAAATAACCCTTATTTACCCAGTAGTAAGTATGGGAGCTGGGAATGGCTCTGGCCCCCAGTTTTTGTTCGTCCATTCTGGTGGCTCCTTGAATATACAGCTGGCCAGGGAGGGAGACTGGGGCAAAAAGTGCCTCCTCTGGATTCACAATCCCTTTACTGTGTATTCACTTGAACTTCTTTCATGCATAGCTCAAGTCCTTTTATTTTATTTATTTTTTGGCTGCACTGGGTCTTTGTTGAGGCACTTGGGGTTATTTGCTCTGAGGCAGGTGGGATTTCATTAATAGTTCCCCAACCAGGGATTGAACCTGTGTCCTCTGCATTAGAAGGCAGATTCTTAACCTCTGGACCACTAAGGAAGTCCCCTTGAGTTCTTTATTTTAAATCTCACCCCTTCTCATTCCTCGGACTTTCCAGAGCAGAGCTGCCTCTAGTTCCTAACCTAGCTTGAAAATCAGAGAATGCCTTGTTCAGTCTTCGGGATCAATCTCGGAAGCTAGAGTGTCTGGGTCTGAGAAGGAGAGAGTGAGCCAGCTGAGGCTTTTGTCCTCAGCTCCCAAGAACAATAGGATAGGAAACTATGGTGAGACTTTGGAACCTGTTGAGAGGTGGCAGCCAGAATTGGGGTGGGGTGGGTGGGTAGTGGGGACCTGAGCACCAAATCCATGTGAAGCAAGAACTAGCTGAAGAAACCAGCAGTCATGAAAGTAACGGTGGTGTTATGAAGATTAAGTGTATAATATTTATAAAGTGTTTAGAACTTGCAATAAATGCTTCTACTTGTTATATGGAATAAATAAACACAGTAGCCTTTGGAGATGCATATCAGGATTTGAAGCATGTGAATGGTGGCTTCATACCCTAGGGTACACCACTCCTGTCACTTGGAAGTAAAGAAAAAGATGACATCAAACAACTCTTCACAA